CACACACACACAGAACACGCACACACACACAGAACACGCACAACACACACACACAACACACACAACACACACACACAACACACAACACACAACACGCAACACACAACACACAACACAACACACACACAGAACACACACACACACAACACACACACAACACACACACACACACAACACACACACAACACACACACACACACAACACACACACACAACACACACACACACAACACACACACACAACACACACACACACAGACACACACACACACACTCTTCCTCCTTTTTTGGCTGGATATCCTCCAACCAAGTTTTCGGGTCGTGCACTTGTGCTGACCTTCACTAGCACATCCCAGGGACAGTTCTGAACGAATTGATGGAAATATCAACAGGAGTTTGTCCCCCCATTCCCAATTTTTTTGATGGCTAAAGTTTGGGCATTTTCAAGATGTGATGGAAAATCCCCGATTTTCGATAGGTCAATCAACTATTTCTATGGCCATGGCTTCCAGTTCGCAAACTGTGAGTCATTGAGGGTAATTCTCTCCTCAATCCGTAGGCTGCTTCCTCTGGCGCCTGCTCCCATCGGAATGCTGGCGGTCTGTGGCACTTTTGGAGCCGGGATGGCTGGCGTGGAAGTCCCTTTCTATGCCGTGAACCTGGGATTTTCAGAGCTAACTTTGGTGTTTCCCCGGTTCGTCAAAAGTGGGTGAGGCTGCATACATAGATTTACTTTAGGTAAATCATGGTAAATCCCCGTTAATCCCAAGATTGGAAATTTACGAGGTCGTTGATTGGTAACCCCATTGGTTTCCCACCGGAATATCATATGCTTCTTGAGCGCTTTCAAAGGCACCCTTTTTTCACAGAATTTCAAGGTTACCCGTGCTTTTGGTCATCTTCGTCGCCGTTCTTGGGGGCAGACTCGCGGTGGTCACCAAGAACCAGGCTTTGGACGCAGAGATCCATAACCTATGTGGCTTAGATGCAGGGGAGGCAGAGGATGTAGCATGAAGGATAAAAACAACTATTTAATTTATGGGGTTATGATGGGGATGAAATGGGGAATATAACTTATGATATGACTTATGGTATAACCAATGGATACCAGTAGTACCCGCACGAGGAGGGGCGGAAGTTGCCTTAGGGATGTACTATATAAGACCTTTCTCATCTATAGAACTTGCATGCGCCGTGCGCCAGCCAGGCCCGTGCGTGCGTGCATTCTGCGAAAGTGGTGTCCTGTTTCGCATGTCACATTTGAAGCTCCACTTCGCACTTCACACTTCTCACTGCACTCTTCACACTCCACACTACACACTTCACACTCCACGCTTCACACTGCACTCTTCGCACTCCACACTTCACTTCACACTGCACTCTTAAGACTCCACACCACACTTCACAGTCCACACTTCACACTTCTCACTGCTTCCTTCAACTTGTCGGAAGCTTATGACCATTTAAAGATATTCTTTCCCTAGCAGGTCCGGAAAGCACACCTGAATTTTATTGATCCTGGAGAATAACAATGACACCCTTTCTACAATTAAAGGACCGGATAACCCCACATGTCAACTTCTTCCAACAAGCAGCAAAAGAAAGGTAAAGATGGCATGTGGAAAGCAGGAAAGAGAAAAGAGATGGTGAAGGATTGGGGTGGAGTAAGTTGTGTGTGGAAGAGTAAGTTGTGTATGGTGATAAGTTGTGTGTGGTGATAAGTTGTGTGTGAGGTGTGTGTGTGTGTGACACACCTGTACAGATGTAAAACTTCTACTACTTTATTTATATATATATATATCTATCTATATGCGGGGGGTCACCGGGGTCCCGGGGGGGTCGGTGACCAATGAAGACACCTCCCCGGGACCCGTGTAAACGTACCCGCAGGACTTCGGTGGTGCACCTGGGCGCATTTAAGTCGCAGCTGGTGGCCACCGTAGTCCTATATATATATATATGTTTTCATCCTTATATAAGTAACTAATCTTGTTGCATGTTACAGGACTCAGTTCCTGACGGATCACTACAATGATCCATTCTCATCTAGTGTGTGCGTGCGTGCAGAAGTTGTGACAGGGAAGGAAGGAAAAACAAAGGAGGTGGTGAAAAGGATCGAGAAGTAAAAGCAGTTGTGTGGATAAAGTTGTATATACGTATGTATGTATGCAGGTATCTATGTATCAGCCGCAAGCACGCTTTTTTTTCCACAGAACATGATGTTCAGGAACGGCAGCATCTGCGCGATGAAGTCGGTACCTGGCAGAGCAAAACAAAACAACGGGCTGTCATTCCTGTCAAGAAACGGCGACATTATCATGAAGACTGTCAGTTTTAGAATCACAGACTGATAACAGACACGTGAGCACAGTCAACCGCAACAGGACGATCAAAGATCACGACGCACCAGAGTGCTGGATCTGCGCGATGAAGTCGGTACCTGGCAGCAAACGCTTTCACCAGACATGCCGCTTGACAGCATCGTTCATGCGCGCGCACACGCAACGTCATCTGGCGACCGTTTTTCTTCGGCAGTAAGCACGATATCCAAATTGGAGCAGCGACGTAAGATTTTCGCACGGCGCGGCAATCTAGCCGAGTGCACCGCAGAGCCGCAGAGCCGCTAGCAGCGACAAGGAATCTTTGCACGGCGCGGCAATCCAGTCGCGTGTGGCGCAGGGCCGGTAGCAGTGACGATAGATTTTCGCACGGCGCGTCAATCGCACGGCTGCTTCTTACGCGGCATCCTCAGTCATCGACGCGTCCTCCGGCGCTGTCTCCATGACGCTTGCAAGACGCTTCATTGGAGTCCATGCCTGGTCGTAGGTGAGTGTTTGTGGGCTTTTTACCTCAGATTCATAGATCCGCAGCATGAAGTTCTTGATTCCCTCCACACGATGTGCTTCCACGGGCACGTGCCACAGCACGCTCCACTCGCCAGCATCTGAGGTGTGAGCAAGCACCACGAAATGCGCCTTGCCCACGTTGCCCCGCAGCAGCCATACCACCGCCGATGCAGGGCCAGCGCAACGCAGCTTCACCCGGCTCGGCGCACCTGTGGCAGCCGGGGCAGACAATAGGCAGTCCACGGAGCGCTTGACGCGCATTGCCGAGGTGGACGTGTTGTCCTGCAGCTGCAGAGCTTCCTCGTCGGGGAGCTGCTCGTCATTGAAGGCCGCCAAGCATCTGACGAAGCTAGCTTCCACGTCATCCACCGAAATCAAGCCAAGCTGGGCATCCACCTGCAACGTAGCCAATGGCGCCACTGGGCAACAGTTGTTCATCTGGCAATGGGACGCTTTCCTGTTCAGGGCTTCTGGTGCGACAACAGGACAAGGCGTCAGGTGCCGACAACTCCAATGTCTGCTGGTATATATTCTCCCGGAACGTGAAGCGACACAGCCACTGCGCAGCACGAAAGAGATCACGGAGCAGAGATGATAAACCAGCAACTGAGAAATGAAACTAACCCCAATCAAAAGCATATCAGTCTATATACACAAAAATCCACTTGATCGCAAGACAACATCGCAAGTAGTTGCGACCTGTCTTCACCTGGCAACGAATCGACAACAACGCCAGAAGCAGAGGTGCCCAGCCGCGCCTGCCACGCAAAGTGGAGGTCGTTGTCGCCAAGTGCCACGTCTGCCACGCTAAGTGCCACGCCTGCCACGCAAAGTGAAGATAGATGTTGCCAAGTGCCACGCCTGCCAGGCAAAGTTGAAGTCGATGTTGCCACGTGCCACGCCTGCCACGCAAGCAGCGGCGGCGTCCACGGCGCCAAACCCAACCCAAGCGCGCCACCAGCGCTAGTCTAGTGCCATAAGTGCCACGCCTGCCATGCAAAGTGAAGGTGGATGTCACCACCTGCCACGCCTGCCACGCAAAGTGACGCTCGATGTCGCCAAGTGCCACGCCTGCCACGCAAACAGCGGCGGCGTCCACGGCGCCAAACCCAACACAAGCGCGCCACCAGAGCTAGCCCAGTGCCATAAGTGCCACGCCTGCCACGCATAGTGGAGGTCGTGGACGTCGATGTTGCCACGTGCCACGCCTGCCACGCAAGCAGCGGCGGCGTCCACGGCGCCAAACCCAACCCAAGCGCGCCACCAGCGCTAGTCTAGTGCCATAAGTGCCACGCCTGCCATGCAAAGTGAAGGTGGATGTCACCACCTGCCACGCCTGCCACGCAAAGTGACGCTCGATGTCGCCAAGTGCCACGCCTGCCACGCAAACAGCGGCGGCGTCAGCGGCGGCGTCCACGGCGCCAAACCCAACCCAAGCGCGCCACCAGAGCCAGCCCAGCCATGAGTGCCACGCCTGCCACGCATAGTGGAGGTCCATGTCGCCAAGTGCCACGCCTGCCAGGCAAAGTGGACGTCTATGTTGCCACGTGCCATGCCTGCCACGCAAGCAGCGGCGGCGTCCACGGTCCCAAACCCAACCCGAGCGCACCACCAGAGCCAGCCCAGTGCCATAAGTGCCACGTGTGCCACACAAAGTGAAGGTGGATGTCACCACCTGCCACACCTGCCACGCAAAGTGACGCTCGATGTCGCCGAGTGCCACGCCTGCCACGCAAGCAGCGGCGGCGCCCACGGCGCCAAAGCCAACCCAGGCGCGCCACCAGAGCTAGTCTAGTGCCATAAGTGCCACGCCTGCCACGCAAAGTGAGGAAAAGTTGTGTGGGCAAGTTGTGTGAGGACAAGTTGTGCTGTGTGTGGACAAGTGTGTGAGCAAGGCAAGTTGTGTGTGGACAAGTTGTGTGTGAGCAAGTTGCGAGTGCACAACTTGTGTGTGGACAAGTTGTGTGTGGACAAGTTGTGTGTGCGTGTGTGTGAGCAAGTTGTGTGAGAGACAAGTTGTGTGTGGACAAGTTGTGTGTGGACAAGTTGTGTGTGGACAAGTTGTGTGTCGTGTGTGGAAAAGTTGTGTGTGTGTGTGAGAAAGTTGTGTGAGAGCAAGTTGTGTGTGGACAAGTTGTGTGAGAGCAAGTTGTGTGAGAGCAAGTTGTGTGTGGACAAGTTGTGTGAGAGCAAGTTGTGTGTGCCGCGCCTGCCACGCAGAGTGAAGGTGGATGTCACCACCTGCCACGCCTGCCACGCAAAGTGACGCTCGATGTCGCCAAGTGCCACGCTTGCCACGCAAGCAGCGGCGGCGTCCACGGCGCCAAACCCAACCCAAGCGCGCCACCAGAGCTAGCCCAGTGCCATAAGTGCCACGCCTGCCCCGCAAAGTGGAGGTCCATGTCGCCAAGTGCCACGCCTGCCAGGCAAAGTGGAAGTCGATGTTGCCACGTGCCACGCCTGCCACGCAAGCAGCGGCGGCGTCCACAGCGCCAAACCCAACCCAAGCGCGCCACCAGAGCTAGTCTAGTGCCATAAGTGCCACGCCTGCCACGCAAAGTGAAGGTAATTTGTCACCACCTGCCACGCCTGCCAGGCAAAGTGACGCTCGATGTCGCCGAGTGCCACGCCTGCCACGCAAGCAGCGGCGGCGTCCACGGTGCCAAACCCAACCCGAGCGCCCCGCCAGAGCCAGCCCAGTGCCATAAGTGCCACGCCTGCCACGCAAAGTGAAGGTGGATGTCACCACCTGCCACGCCTGCCACACAAAGTGACGCTCGATGTCGCCGAGTGCCACGCCTGCCACGCAAGTAGCGGCGGCGTCCACGGCGCCAAACCCAACCCAAGCTCGCCACCAGAGCCAGCCCAGTGCCATAAGTGCCACGCCTGCCACGCAAAGTGAGGAAAAGTTGTGTGGGCAAGTTGTGTGGGCAAGTTGTGTGAGGACAAGTTGTGCTGTGTGTGGACAAGTGTGTGAGCAAGGCAAGTTGTGTGTGGACAAGTTGTGTGTGAGCAAGTTGTGTGTGGACAAGTTGTGTGTGAGCAAGCGGTGTGAGGACAAGTTGTGTGTGGAGCAAGTTGTGTGTGGACAAGTTGTGTGTGGAGCAAGTTGCGTGTGCACAAGTTGTGTGTGGACAAGTTGTGTGTGGAGCAAGTTGTGTGTGGACC